GGTAATGATTGCCTTTATATTTGGGCATGGTAGTAACTCCAACCGTATCTTAAATTATTTCTTGTTTTAATTGTTTTATTTCATCATTGTTGGATGCTAACTCTTATTTTTGTTAGGATTTATTTTTGAGTCTATGTGTGTTGTGGATTCATAATTATTTTAGGAGTCCGAATTAGGAACCTATATGTGATATGACTTCATATTTAATTTGAACTAAATTAATTAGTCCTTATTTATATGGATTGCATTAAATTATTAAGTCCACATAGGGTTTGGAGTTTATCTTTTCTTATTATGTAGAGACCAGTTTGGGATAAGTTTTTGTATTTCAACTAGACAAAATTTTCTTAACACTAACTATATATTCTAGTCCAAGTATTTAAATTTCTATCTATAATTTTAGGAGAAAGACTTTTGATAATTTGAGAATAAATTGTGTGATTTTTTTTTTTTTTTTTTTTTTGTAATTTGCATTCATTAAAAACTTAAGGCATGGGTTAATCCTTGTACTTTCTTAGGATTTTGCATTTTATATCCTTGAAGTGATGTAATAACCGGTACGCACTAAAACTGAAATTAAATAAAAATTTAATATTAAATACATGTGAAAAATGTTTTGAGAGTAAGAAATAATTATAAGTGATTTAAAATAATATTTAGAATAATCAAAATAGTTGTTCCATGCTTGAGGAATATTTTATTGATTTTACGATGCATGAATGGTAGTTTTTACATGAAATAATTAATTAAAGCATGTTGTTTGTGTATGAAAAATATTTTTTTTGCCTAGAATATTTTTGGGAGGGGTGCTGAATTATTTTATATGATTATGTGGATTTTTTTATGTGATGTGAATATTTTCTTTGAAATTCCATGTATAGGAATAGTGTCTTAGAGATAGAAGAATTAAACTAGACCCTTCAAAAGAATGATGAAATTTTTTAAGGGTATGGAAAAATCACTTGGAGTATTTAGGAGTGCCTAATAAATTTTAATTAATTTTCCAATATATAGGGAATATTTCTCATAAGAAATAGTGTAATATTTACACTAAATAATTAATTTAGAGGCCCAAATGAGGTTAAAAAATTATGAAAATTTAAAATAAACTTTCTTAATAAATTTTTGAATTTATTCTATAAAGAAATTAGATTTTTGAAGAGTATAGAATGTAATTCTAAAAGTAGAAACTAAATTGTATAAAATTAGGGACTTGATTGCATAAAATTAAAAGTCTAATATCCAAATTAAATTATATAGGAATGTTAAGGTAAAAATTTTAGTCCTAAATACTAAAAAGAAAGGGTTAGAAATGATTATTTTAATAAAAAGAGGATTTGGAATTCTAAAAGTAGAGACTAAATTGTATAAAATTAGGGACTTGATTGCATAAAATTAAAAGTATAATATCCAAATTAAATTATATAGGAATGTTAAGGTAAAAATTTTAGTCCTAAATACTAGAAAGAAAGGGTTAGAAATGATTATTTTAATAAAAAGAGGATTTAGGAAAGAATAAGCCCTAGAAAACTCTAGAAACTTGGAGGACCAAAATTTGTCATTTTCCCCCAACATTGGTCAACCTAAAGCATTAATTATGTTTGACTTCCAGTAAAAATTGTAGCTAAAATTAAGCTAAATGGAAGGCTTAAACAAAAAGAAGAACAAATGGCTAAAAATTTTGCCAAATAAAAAGAATTGATTGAAAATTTAATTAAGGCCTAATAGTTATCCAAATTAAGGATGGAGATGAGGTCAACAAGCCTAAAAACTTTCCTATAAATAGGGATGCTGAAAAAATTAAAAAGGGAAGAAAAATTGAAAAAAACAAAGGAAACTCTTGCAAAATTTTCACTCAAAATCTACCCAAAATAATCCTAACCAATTTTAGACCCTCCAAATTAGTAGAGTAAGCTTCAATTCAAGTTAGGATCCGAATACCTTCAAGTAGAAAATTAAGAGAGCTAATTCAAATTTGGAGAGAAAAGGGGAGGAAGAAAATTTTCAAGCAACCTACCTTTTTAAGGTTAAATTGGAGCTCAATCGTGTAACTTAACTTAACCTACACCATAAAAAAGTTTAATTTCATGTCAATTTTGTGTTTAATTGCTTTGATTTGATTAATTGCCTAAATTGGGAAAAATTAGGGTTCGGGTTCTTGTTGACCTAATTTGGGGGAAATGAATTTTGACTTGAAAATCATGAAATTGGGATTTAAATAGGTTGATTGGGCTTGAAATTGGGGATTAAAACTAAAAAATTCTTAGGGTTCTTTCCTTGTTATCATTCGACCCAAATGCTTAAATTAGAGGTTTTTAATTCTTTCATGCAATTGGTGTTTTAGGACTTTATTATGCCTTATTTAGGTCTAAATTAGTGATTTAGAATGAAATATTTCACATTAATTGAAGAAAACTTCACTAATTTAGGGGGATTATATTTAGCCTAATTTGGAAATTTTAGAATTTGAATTCCAAGCACTTAGTTTGTGGTTTGATGGTTGATTCACACTTGAATAAGCATTTTTTGATGTGTAGGAATGAAAAAAATTGATGTAAATGGAAGAAAATTGGTTTAGTGGCCTTAGGCCCATTAAGGCCCAATACGAGTTTGGGTAGAAATTTGCGCCCTAAATGTGAATTAAATTGATCCATATAGTTTGCATTTATTTAGGCTACATAGTTTCAAAAATTTAGGATTAAAGGAGAATAAATTATTAGGGTTTGAAAATGAGAAAAATTTAGTCTAAAGGAGAGAAATTTAGATATCAAGTTAAATAAATATGTTTATGTTATATAGGATCGGGAGTCGGGAAAGATGATTGCATAAGGGCCTCGAATTTGGAAGTCTTTTTCCATTATAATTTCCTTTTTCTTTGTGTTTTTCTTTTCCTTTTATCACTTGTAATTCTACTTATGTTGATTATAGAGCATGGTCTAACCATCTTGGAATCCAAACACTAATTTACTTAATGAATTACTCAATTCTAGTTTGATTGGTAATAATAAGTCACTGTCTCTTAGAGTAGTTAAATTTGATTGCAATTCGATAAACTTGGTAAAAGTAAAAATATTCCTTTTTTCCACTCACACACTAAAAATAGTCCAAATTTTCTATCCGATACACATTGATGTATAGGGTATGGCTCCAATTATCTCTCATACCCATTATAAGTACTCCATCACCTTTATTTATGACTATAGTCGTCTCACGTAGATCCATTTTTGCATTCTAAAAATAAAGTACGTTGTGTTTTCAAGATTTTTCTCGCTTATGTTCCGACTCAATACTCTACCAATATTAAACCTCTTCACTAACTCAATCGGGGTGAGTATGTGTCCCATGCATTTCATGAATTTTTGAACCAAAATGGCATCATTTTTCAATGGTATTGTCCTTCAACTCGCCTAACAAAATGGGGTGGCTAAGAGACAGAATCGTCATCTTTTCAATGTTATGTGCACACTTCTCTTAGAATCCTATGTGCCCTCTCGATTCTAGTGCGAGGCTCTCTCTACTACTCGTACACCTTATTAATCACCTGCCATCTCCCTCTTTGAACCATGCCTAACCTTATACATGATTATTTAGGCATCCTTCTACTTGTTCTAATCTTCATACCTTTAGTTATGTGTGCTATGTTCCATCTCCCTCAACACGAACGCACAAAACTCATAGCTCAATCAACTAAATGTGTTTTTCTTGGATACTTTATACATCATAAAGGTTTTCTTTGCTATGATCCTAATTTTCCCCATATACATGTTTCTAAGAATGTGATCTTTTAAAAAAAATCACTATTTTTTTCTTACTTACATAGAGCCCCCTTCTACTTTATTGTTGGTACTTTCATTATTTATTAACTCTTATGCATACTCCTCACCTTTTAAAACCCTTCTAGTATGTAAAAGACATCCCAAATCAACTATGACAATAGCTCCCTCTAAGCCTCCTCAAACTACTTCCCTTACTATTGATCTCGCTCTAACATCGCCCCTCCCATACGTCATAGTATTCGGATCCGTAGACCCTTAAAATGGTATGGATTTCCCAACCCCGTATCTTTGACAACCATATTATCATATATTCCATCTTCTTATAAACGAGGCCATGGAACATGAGTGTTGGAGAAAGGTTATTGACACCAAACTTCTTGCCCTTAAAAAAAAAAAATAGACTTGGGATGTTATCCCACATCCTTTTTAGTGAAACCTTTTGGCAATAAGTTTGTCTTCTCTATCAAACTTTTTTTTGATGGTTCCATTGATCGTCATAAGGTTTGGTTAGTGGTATAAAGGAACATATAAAAATATGGCCTTGACTATGATGAAACTTTTGCACCTATAGCCAAGATGACCACTCGTGCACTCCATGTTTACTCTTGTCGCATCCTAATTTTGGCCTTTGCTTTAATTGGATATTAAGAATTCCTTCTTACATGGTGATCTAAAGGTAGAATTTTACATGAAACTTCCTTCCGGTATGCCTACTTCTTCTCCTAATGATGTCCGTAAACTGAATCATTCTTTACATGGATTGAAGTAGGCACTAAGAGTCTAGTTTGAGAAGTTTTGCTCCACTCTACTTGGTTTTTCCTTCCATTAGAGTCAATATAACTCCTCTCTCCTCTTATAATGGATGTCTAAGGGCGTCATTATCCTTCTTATTTAAGTGGATGATATTGTTGTTACTCGGTTCCGATAAGGCAAGCATCTCTACTATTCAAAGGATGTTAGATTCTACATTTCATATGAAAGACCTTGGCCAGCCTCACCTACTTCTTATGGTCGAAGTGTATCATCACTCTCAAGGTATCTTCTTGAATCAACACAAGTACATTCAGGACTTAGTTCAATTGGCTAGCCTCACTAGTAGTAACTCTATTAATACCCTTATGAAACTTAATGTGAAATATAGCCATGATGTTGATGAGTTACTTAAGGATCCTACTCTATATGGGAAGCTCGGTGGGTAGTCTCATCTATTTGACTAACACCGGACTAGATATATCTTATATTGTTCACACCATTACCCTCTTCATGCAATCTCCACAACACCTTCAATTCTCTATCATTCATCGCATCATTCGATATATCTTGGGCACTCCTCATCATGATCCTTTCTTTCCTATTGATTCTACTCTCTATCTTTGTGCCTATAGTGATGCCAATCGAGCTAGCTACCCGTACACTAGGAACTCTACTACTAGTTATTGTATGTTTTTTGGTGAGGCTCTTATATTTTGGAAAGGCAAAAAACATAGCTATGTTTCCAAATCCTTAATTGAAGTAGACTATCGAGCCATGTCCGTTATATATTCCGAGCTTATTTGGTTATGAGGTCTATTGATGGAGCTTGGTTTCTACTCCGATCAACCCATATACCCTTTCATGCTAACAACACTAGTGCCATTCAAATTGTTGTCAATCCCGTCTACCATCAACGCACGAAGTACATTAAGGTTGATCGCCATTCCACTCATGAGCCTTATGATTGCCATGTTATTTCCCTTCCATATATCTCCACATCTCTATAAATTGCGGATATCTTCACCAAGGTCATGTCTCATCCACACCATGCTATAGGTTTGTAAAGAATACATATGTAATAAAAACTCTAGAGGAATACGTACTTTTGCGTACAAAAAGACTTTTATTTGTTAACTCTCTAAAGTTTGTCGGGAGTAACACTTCCAAAGAGTGAGCAAGAGCCACAAGAATAGAGATAGAGGAAGATACCAAACCTTGCATTAAAGAATGTTTGCCATAGTATAAAGGGAGAAAGTCCTCTTCTTGTTCATCAATTATTATGCCTTACTCTCAAACCCATCCTCCTCACTACTATTGGCACTAGAAAGGATATAGGGACCTAGCACCACTAGAGCTCCCCTTAAAAACCAACCCTCTAGCTTGTTGTGAAGGCTCCATCAAAGGTTCATACCTCACTTTAAAAAGTCCCCCAACTAGAAGAGAATACTCGCGTGTCAAAAACGAACAAGGTTAGAAGATAGATAGAAAAACTCATAAATTACCATAACTATCCTACACATTGTAGGCCGGTGACAATCCTCAGGCAAGAAAATCAACTCGGAAAACACTCCTCGTACTCCACACTTACTCCAAAAAGCCAAGTCAATACTAGACTAAAGTGAGGTGTCGTTTCTACGAACCTTAAAATTTCTCTAAAAAGGTTGCACCCCTATATCGACCAACCCTTTTGGGGCATCGATCCTACATACCTAGCAAAAAACTATTGTTCTCTTTAAGCACCAAGAAGATTAGCTCCTCCTAAAAACACCCCGTTCATGGGACCATCCTTCCTAAGTAGAAGATTATACACTTGAAATCTCCTACTACCTTTCGTTTTTTTCCTTTAATGGGTAGAAAGAGTACAAGAAGAGCTTCAAAGATGGGACTGCCTCGAGTTGCAAAAAAAAAAATTATGAAAAAAAACAACAAGGATGGCCTACCCAATAAGGAGAAACTAACAAAAACTTATGCCAAAATGCTGGAAAAAAAAACTCCTCAATAAACCCTGAGATATAAGAAGCTTAAAATGTACTCAATCATGCATGTGAAAACAATGATATTAAAGCTCTCCTCAAAAGATCCTGCAGTCAACATTTCCATCCTATCGTTAGGAAGGGGAATAACTACATGGTAGTTATTCTTAAAAAATCAGAGAAGGCTACAATCATTTCCCTTAAAAACTCTACTAGAACCCCCATCAGTAGGAAAATGAGGGTGTCTATCCATACCTTGAGAAGAGAGAACCACGTTCACATTAGAACTCACTCTCTTCTCGCCACCATGAACAACACCATATGCTTATCTAACTCTTCTTAGGTCCTCCATGGATTAAACGAAAAAAGAAAAATAAAGTCAGTACTTGCCAAAGTTTTTGCTAAGAAACAGAAAACAAGCATCCCATAAAAGCCCAAGACACACTCGAAATAACCACAAATTGGTAAAGAATGGCCATCAAGAGAAACTCTAAACAATCTCTAACTCATTGGCCAATCTCCACCAATCCTCTGAAAGTTTTGTATAGATAAAAGCAAAAGTAGCAAAAATTGAAGAGACGTGGATACCAACAGGTATTTATACGTGAAAAAAAGGTGTGAAAACCCTCATGATGGATGACCAGAAGCCCAAGCCTAGTGAGGCATGTCTCACCTGTTAGACAAAAAAGTTGAAGCGGGTTGAAACATTAAAGACTCCAAGAGGCCCTATTGCTTCGATTTCCTTAAGAAATTCTCATGTGTAAATGATCAGCCTTTCCACGTGTTACACAATTTCCAAAATCATAGGCATTAAATGAAGGCTGTAGAATACCCACCAAAGTCAAATCTGAAAGGACAAGTGGAAAACCATTGATCAACCTTAGCATCCCCAAAAAGCTCGGACGCATTCCAAGTCTTCACTAAAATACAATTGCTAAAGACTCAAAGAGGCTACTGATATACTTGTATAGATCCCTTTACGGTACGTGCCCTTTCTGTTTATAAAGAGGATGCCAGACTCCTAACACGACCATTATCAGGATTGCCTCGTCGTTGATGGGAGACTCCGTGACTAGACAAACTTCGTACAAATAGTATGATCCAGCATTCTGGATGGAATTTTTCTTCCCTTTCTCGGGCTATACACAAAAAATCAGATTTAATGAAGACATGATTTCTAGGAATGTCCATCACATCATCACCGAACATAATACTTCTTACCGTACTCATACTAAGTCATCAAAGGTTCTTCCAAACACAAAAATAAGACTTGCTTGTAGATAATCATTATTGGTTTCTCTTAAAACAAATTATATCAACCACACGATTAGTCTGAATCAAAAGCCATCCAAAATCAAAATTTGTTCAATGATCACAACTTCATCAAGTAAGATTTGACGATGATGACAAAGAACCAATATAAGTAGCATTCTTTTGAAACAAGGCAAAGGGTTGGGTAGACTTGACAGGTACAAGGAGTGATTCATAGAGTGAAAGGCCTTTGCTTGTGTCATGGGCAAGAAACGATATATTAGCGAACCACCGTTATAGGACGCTATAATCAGCCATCACAACGCCTGGAATAATAGGTGGTTGAGGTACTGCATGACCTTGTAAAGGAACCGACTTCGAAGTTGAAGAATTGATGGTGCAAAAAATAATATCATATGTAACTATTTCCAACTTATTAACCGTTGCCACAGTTGAAGTTCGCGGGTCAAGTCAAACAAGTCAAAAGAGTTTAGAGAGTTCTTGATCAACAATACATGTGGGTGTGGAGTGAGGGAGAGATCCAGCTAGGGTGGTTTGAAGGATTTCTTACAGGTGGGTACATTTCTGGGAAGTTCCTTTTCAAAAATATTGGGTCCATACTTGCAATCAAGAGACCTAGTTTCCTAATTAATTAAAAAAGATTAAATAGGAAGAAAACACTGCCAAGCCAAGGGAAGAAAAATATTACTTCTTCAACTTGTGTAATAATAAAAAAAGAATGATGTACATTTTAATTTAGGCATCAAGGAGAATCACTAGACTCTGCCATCACCATATCGCTGGTACAACAAAACTCATCACAATTTTTCTCTGCTATATAATTTTGGGATGATAAATAGCCAGGAGCTAACCACCAAACAAAGCAACAACTATAACTCACTTTAGAAAGTAATCTAACCATACCTCGTGCTGTTCCTCCTGCCCCACCACTTCTTTTTCACCCTATCAAGGGCACCTTCTTCAGTTCCAAGCTTATTCAAAATCACCTTTGTTTCCCGTAATCTCGATCCATAATCCTTCTTCCAAGCTTCAAACATCTGCTTTAACCTTCTGAGCTCTCGGTCAGGGTTCAAGCTTGCATCAACCTGACCAGATTTTACCTCTACCAAAAACTTGGCATCATCACCAAATACTTGACTCCTCTGCTCAAATTCTTCAGCTAACCGGCTTATAACACTCAAACCTGCACTCATTGGTCTAACCCCATTATTTTCTTGACCCCTATGGTTACTACCTGTATCCCAGCTAAAGTCTCTCTCATCACTTGCGTTGACTGATGCATCAGAATTTCTCTCAGAATCGTCAATGGCTAGGCTCTTCTTTGCAATGGAGAGGCTGGATTGTAGGGATCTCATCTGTTTCTGCCACACTTCCTCCATGGACTTCATTTTCAACTCATATTCAGACCAACGGCTCTCATATTGTTGGAGCCGTTGGTGAAGGATGTCATTCTCCTCCTCTTTCTCTCTCAGAGCAGCCTCAGCTTTCAGAACTCGTCGCTGTAATTCAGCAAGATATGATGCCTTCACGAGCACCTCATCTGACTCATTGCCCTGTTGACAAATTGTAATTTAGGGTCTCAACATAAAGAATACAAAGAACTCCAATATGAACAGGCTCTTCTTAGGAAAGAAGGATCCAAGCATTACAAGTAGGCTCATGAACCACCAATGATATTTACACTATCAGACACTGTCTCAGTCATGTCCAGGGAGTGGGTCCTCACTTCATTATATACATGTAGCTTTTACGACGAATTCTTAAAATTAAGCTCTAAAGATCGGACAAAGAACAGTCCTTAGGACAAGCAACCAGATAGACTCAGGTGACTGTCTACGTCAATTTAATATAGCGTACTCGCACATCACATGAATGGACAGATAGAGCGATAGGTACATGTACACAAGAAAAGAAAGTATCAATACTAACAGAGATTAAAGGACCCAATTCTCATTTGAAACCAGTGCATTGGTACTTGATAATATTCCAGAAGCTTCTATTTCAAGAGTAAAGGTTGCAATTGAGATGCATACACATACATATAGCATGTTCAATATAAATAAACGACAGAAAAAAAAATTACAAAAACAACTCAGGATTCTATCAAACGGGCACTAATTACAACAAATATAGAAGCAAGCATACGAGTGATACTTAAAGGTGGTATCTAGAAAAGAGAAGATTGAATGGGTACCTTAGTTGCCCCGGATTTCAATAATCCTATATCACCTGAAAATCTTCTCACCAACCATCCACGAATAACTGCAGCATAGCACAGACAATATCATGAATAATTGACAGAAAGCATCTTGTTAAGAAGGCAAAGACAGCAAAGCAGCTTGGTCTAAACATTTTCAAGCAGAAATTGTAAACAATCTCAAGCGTTGACTGAAACCAACTCGACCACAACCTCCAAGAACCCAATCCAGAGATTGTTCTTTGCAAACTCTAATCAAGCATTCAGATGAGCAAAAACATCTGACTTTACAGCACTAAACTCACAAGCCAAGGACAACTTAATTTTACCTGATTGAATTATGACTGATGCTTGAAGCATGTCTTTGTAATTTTTCCTACAGATTGTGCTTTTGATATGTTTTTGTATAACAACAGCAGCTCTATGTCTCTGTTGTAAGACTGTATATTCCTTTCTGATTCTCTCTCCCCGAACAACTGTATGAAGTAATGAATAAGTCATCATCACGAGCATTCTTGCAAATAATTTATTTTTTTTACAAGCATGACGATGGTTTAAAAATAAACAGAGGTTCAAACTAGAAAAGAGGGGCAATACATGACTGAAGAACACAAATTCCTCTTCGGACCTCCCTGAGGTAACTGCGAGCTAGGTGCCCTCTGAAACAGCTTTGAACGCGTAAGATACCATGTAGCGTGCGGTTTCTTGTATCCTCAAGCACACCAATCTGCATGAAATGTATAAAGGCTTAACAATTATGTTCAATTGCAGGTTGACAGTAATTCATGGTATTTATATCAGGAAGAAAAAGTTCTCAAAACCATCTACAGAAGCCATAATATGATGAGAATCTGACAGGCATTTGTATGTATGCATGCTTATATGCAAGTAGGTTTTCACATATGCTTTTTGTGTTCATCTGCAGATTCTCCATTTCACCTGTCCTGTTCGGAAAAATAATTTTGTGTAGCCAACTTGATACATCTCTGGCAAGATGTCAAACTGATGAAGAATTGCAACTGAAACACTGAGTGGATCAAGAGAAGCAACATTTTCCAGCAGAAGAAAACCATATCTGATGCAAAAATTGTGTCAGACAATCAGCATCCCAAAAGTAAAATGAGATACAAAACTCCACTGAATCAGACAATTTTGGAAGCTGTCACATACGTTAAAACAGTAATTTTCTTTACCTTCTGGCAAACTTCTGGTGTGACATTCTGGTAGGAAATCCAGACCTTGATATACGAACTACTTCTAGAACTCCACAACACCTCAGTTGCTGCAATACAAGTCCTTGCTCATATGATCCAGGAGACTGAGAGTTGTTAGGCTTTATACAACGTATGAAATGCGGTGTTGTGTTCTCTAGACGTTGCATCAATTGGAACAGTTGGCCCTATACAACAAAATGCTAGGTTAATAGAATTATTGGGACAAGCAGAAGCTAGATTGTTATCTAGCATTCACACTCATCTGTGCTGAACACATCAAAAATTTATGCCTCACCATTCAGATATATGGGGACACAAACAAGAGAATATTGATAAGCCTTTTTTATTTTTTTTCATTAACAGCAACATACATCTGATTTACGCAAAACTTTTCAAAGCACTAACATCAATAACTTGTTGATTAAGAACAAATTTCTTTCTCAACTGGTCCAATTTACAAAAAAAAACAAAAAAAAAAAACAAAAACAAAAAAAAAAAAAAAAAAAAAAAAAAAAAAAACCGCTTTCTAACCATAAGGATTGAACCATTCATATACTGGATCATCAAGAAACAATATCTGATCAATAATCGCCAACAAAACCATTTCTTGCTTCTGAAATAGTGAACAAAACCTTATATCATTAAACTCAAAGGAAATCTAGGAAAAACAATCATGGCCAGTAGAACCCTTAGGGGATCCCAATTTCAAATATTAGGTTTGGGGACAAACAACAGAAAGCTATACCTTAAATTTCGTTGCAACACTTAGCTTTTGTGAATCTGCTCCACCTGCTTTATATAAAGGACCGACAACAGGTTTCTCAGATTGTGTAAGCAAATTGGAAGCAAATATCTGAGGGAGATGGCATGAACACGACAAGAGAAGCTGGATTGAATCCAAGTGTAATAAGTCTCTATTCTTCTCCAGAAATCCAGTTGTATCATAAGTAACCTGACAATCAACACAGTGGCAGCATTAAATGAGGTAGCCTTCTCATCAGCAAAAGGTTATGGCACCTAGATTATTAAATCACTATACTAAAAGAATCAGAAGCATAATTATTTAAAGCTGGGTCATGTTAACAGTAAAAGGGATCTGAACAACAGCATTCTTTCAAACAGGGCCATATCGAATTTTTCCATCAATTTTGATGAGAAGGAGATGAACGGACCATTGTAAGCACTTGAATCACAACAAAAGGAAAGCACAATGGACTATTAGTAGACTAAAAGGCCAATACCTCTCCAGCATAATGGCTGACACTGAAGGCTTTGCCTCTTTCTCCTCGGAAACAAGAATTAGAGTTTAAATGCTGTTTAAGCTTGTTGGCAAATGTCAAATCTGTTCCATTTGGAAAGGTGGACTCCTCATCTATCAAAGATAATAACCCCAGAGGTTTCTGCATAAAAGATAAAAGGATCAAAATGTACAAACTCAAATTTCAAAAACAGTTCCAACTATGAAACTTGAGCATTAAAACCAATGCAAAAAACAAATTTAAGAAACCATTTTTGCTCTGTATGATCATCCACATTTATTACTTTTAACTTGTCAAACAAAACGAAATCACACAGTATCAGGATGTCCATAACTCTATTATACAAACTAGAAAAATAAAAGGAGCAATACACTCATCATAAGAAGAGAGTCAGCTTATATATCTTTTCTTGTCAGTATCCTGGAACTCTAAAAAAATGTTTCATATTCTTTTACTAACCCCATTATGAAATTATCCCATTTGCAACTCAATAGACTCAGTTGACTTGTAAGGAGACAGTGAGAAACTTGAAATTCAACATTGATAGAATTCCTATCCTTCTCAGCATATACAAGTGTATAGGTTGACCAAAGAAATCAACATCAGGTCTACATATAGTCCTTGAAACGTCATGTGGTGAGGAGGACCAGAACATCAATTTAATTATCATATCAAGAAATATAACAGACTAGTAATATTACAATAGAGGTACATATTTCTATTTCTGTCGGAATAGGAAATATTCTATTTAACATATTCTCGGAATAGGAAATATATGTAGCTATATATATATAAGTTGTAATACCTGTAAATACACGACAATACAATCACTATTTCCTATTCATATTTGTTTACATGGTATCAGAGCTGGCCTATTTTTTCTAAACAAGAAAACCTAGCCATTAACCACACTAATTTTTTGTATCTGAAATTACATTAGATTCTATACCCTCTCTTGTTCATCCATCAACCTCTTCCGAAACAAAGGATTCCGTCAATGAGACAAAGAATCCTGATGACTTATCTGCAGATTCTCATTCAGCTCGGATTGCAACTATCAAACTGAATGGAGACACTTTCTTGCACTGGTCTCAATCTGAGCACATGTACATCCAAGGTAGGGGAAAGACTGGGTATTTAACTGGTGAAAAGGAGGAGCTAAACTTGGATGATCTGGCCTATCCAGTTTGGGATGCAGAGAACTCCATAGCTATGACATGGTTAGTGAACTCTGTGGAGGAGGATGTCAGTTCCAATTACGTGTTATCACACAAAAAAGGAACTTTTGGATAATGTTAATTTAATGCATTCTGACTTGGGAAATCAATCCCAAGTATATGAAATAATACTGAAACTTGGAGAAATTCGCAAAGGTAAGGACAATGTTACAAAGTATTTCAATTCTTTAACTCATCTATGGCAAGACCTGGACTTATTCAATTCTTATGAATGGAAATCATCTAAGGATGGTAACCATTACGAGAAGGTAGAGGATGATCGGATTTTCAAATTCCTCATGAGACTCAATGTTAAGTTTGATGAGGTTAGGGGGAATAATTGGGAGACAGCCCCTTCCATTTATTGGTGAAGTTTTTGCTGAGGTTTGCCGAGAAGAGAGTTTTCGGTTGGTGATGCTGGGAAAAAAAGTTTCGAACAGCACAACAGAAAACTCTGCATTGGCAGCCATAGACACCTATAAGGGTAGAATGACAACAAATAAATCTGATGGCAAAAACCATGCTTGGTGTGATCATTGCAACAAGCCAAGGCATACCAGGGCAACTTGCTAGAAACTCCATGGGAAAACAGAAAATTGGAAGGGTAATCATGAAGGAAAATTCAAACAAAATCCTACTGCCAATGAAGTTGAGACAGTTCCTTTCAATCCACAACAGATGGACCATATCCTAAAACTGCTCAAATCCAATTTTGGATTATTTGGTACTCCTAATGCTTCTTTGGTACAAACAAGTAGTGATTTAAATACCTTAAGTGTGTTACTCTTTATCACAATCCACTCCATGGATTATTGATTCTGGAGCATCTAACCATATGACAAGTTTTTTAAATTTATTTCATACTTATGTTCCTTGTTCGGGTCGTGAAAAAATTCGTATAGCAAATGGGTCTTATTCACCTATTGTTGGCAAAAATTCGATTATTTTGTCAGAGACTTTATCCTTTAAATCTGTTCTACATGCACCAAAACTTACATGCAATCTTCTATCTGTCAGCAAATTATAAAAAAAATTCTAATTCTAGTGTCGCTTTCTTTGATTCCTATTGTGTTTCTGGATTGAAATTCGAGGAAAAAGATTGTCGGTGCTAGAATAATTGATGGTTTTTACTATTTTTAAGATGAAGTCTCCAATGATAAGAGACCTCAAGAACTAAGTACTATCAGTTCTATCCCTCTTAAAGATAAGATAATGCTCCGGCATTATAGATTAGGACATCCTAGTTTTCTCTATCTTAAAAAATTGTTTTACTTTATTTAAAACAATAGATTGTTCTCTTTTTCATTGTGAACATTGCATTTTGTCAAAAAGTCATAAAAATATTTATCCTTCAAAACCTTAACCTTCACGACCATTGTATTTAATTTATAGTGATGAAGGACTCCTACTTATTCAGGCAAAAAATGGGTTAACCTTTATTGATAATCATACTCGGTTGTGTTGAGTATATTTAATGGCTGATAAATCTGAAGTTAAAACAATGTGTCAAAATTTTTATAACATGATTGAAACTCAATTTCAAACTAAAATTGATATTTTTCATACTGATAATGAAAATGAGTATTTCAATGAAATTCTTGAAAAAAATTTTAGAGAAAGGCATTCATCTTCAATCAACTTGTGTTGATACACCTCAGCAAAATGGTATAGCTTAGCAAAAAAATCAACACTTATTAGAAGTGGCCTGATCTCTTATGTTTTCTATGCATGTCCCTAAGTATCTTTGGGAGAAGCCATTTTAACTGCAGCATATTTGATAAACAAAATGCCTACTTGTGTACTTAAATTCATTACTCCTCTTGGGTGCTTTAAAAATTTCTTCCCAAAAACCAAACTTCATCCAATTTAACCCTTCAAATATTTAAGGGCACAGCTTATGTTCATTTACCCAATAAGGATCAGTCCAAGCTTGATCCAACGCCTGAAATATATGTTGTTATTGACTATGCATCAAATCAAAAGGGATACAAGTTTTTTCTTCCAAAGACCCGAAAAGTCCTAGTTACTATGGATGTTTTAGCCTTGTTTTCAAAAGTATTTTCTTCAAGGAGGGAGTTTGGAGGAAGAAAATAGTTGGGACAACATACCTATTTTTACTATTTTACCTCAAACAATGACCTCTACACCTAGTATTTCCAAAAATGACAAAACAATTTCCACTGATAATGATACTGTTTTTCAAAAATTGTTGAATCTTTGACAGGGAGAGAAATACTACAAAATAATCCTAAGGATCAAGAACCTATGGTCGTTTATGCAAGGAGAAAGAATCATCAAAAGAGTAGAGAACCTACTGTTCCTTCAGCACCTAGTCAATGCATTACCTCGGATTCAGGTGCTCAAGACACTTCTCAAAATACTAATCCTGTTTCACCTCTTGTTTTACTCGATGCGGTTTCTCATAAATATTGTGATCTGATGCGGATTCTCATAAATACTAAAAAAGAATCCTGAGGATCAGGAACCTGAGGTTGTTTATGCTAGGAGAAAGAATCATCAAAAGAGTAGAGAACCTATTGTTCCTTCATCACCTAGTCAATGCATTACCTCGAATTCAGGTGTTCAAGACACTTCTCAAAATACTAATCCTCCTGCTTCACCTCTTGTTTTACCCAATGCGGTTTCTCATAGATATTGTAATCTTGATGTTCTTATTTCACTTAAAAAAGAAACTCCTTCTTGCACTAATCACCCAATTGCAAAATATCTATCTTATGATCGTCTCTCTCAAAAACATAAGACATTTACTTCAAAAATCTCTAACATGTTTGTTCTAAAAAATATTTAGGAAGCACTTGATGATCCAAATTGGAGAATAGCTATGATGAAGGAAATAAATACACTAAAGAAAAATGGGACATGGGAGATTGTAGAGCTGCCCAAAGGCCAAAAAACAATTATGTGTAAATGAGTATTTACTGTGAAATCCAAGGCAAATGGTAGTGCAGAGAGATATAAGGCTAGACTTATGACTAAGGGATTTGCTCAAACATATGGTGTTGATTATCAGGAAACTTGTGCCCCAGTAGCCAAAATTAACTCTATACATGTTTTATTGTCACTTGTAGTTAATTTCAATTGGATCTTATACTAACTAGATGTGAAAAATGCTTTCCTGAATGGTGATTTGAAAGAAGTCTTTGAGTCTGCCTCCTAGTTTTGAAGGTTTTGTCAATCAAAACAAAGTTTGCAAACTTAAGAAGTCATTATATAGCCTCAAACAGTCTCCACAGGCATTGTTTGAACGGTTTGGAAAAACTATAAAAGGATATGGGTATCATCAAAGTCAGACAAATCATACTCTTTTATACACACTGATAAAGGGAAAATAGCAATCCTTATTGTATATGTTGATGACATGATACTAACTGGTGATGACCTTGATGAATTAGTAAGATTGAAGAATATACTAGCTGAAAACTTTGAGATTAGAGACCTAGGAACATTGAAATATTTTCTTGGCATGGAATTTGCAAGATCGCATGAAGGAATCTTAGTAAATCAAAGAAAATATATCCTTGATTTGCTGAATGAAACCGGTCTTTTAGGTTGCAAGGCTGCTAAGACTCCAATTGAGATATCTCAAACTAAATCCAACTAAAATTGAGAATGTGATTGAGAAGGAGAAATTTCAGCATTTGGTGGATAGACTTATATATTTGTCATGCAATCGCCCTGATATAGCATTTGCAGTAAGCATGATAAGTCGATTCTTGCATGCACCAAGCCATGAGTGCTTTAAAGCAACCTATAGGAGACTATAGTACCTAAAAGGGACTCTGGATAGGATTTGATGTTTAAAAAGCATGATCACTTTTAGGTGAAAGTCTATACTGATGCTGATTGAACTAGTAGTGTGATAGACAGGTAATCAACATCAAGATATTGTACATTTATTGGAAGAAATTTAGTTACTTAAAGTAAGAAGCAAAATGTTGTGCCACAAAGTACTGCTAAAGCAAAACTTAAATCCCTTGCACAAGGGATTTGTGAAGCTATATGGATTAAGAAATTGCTAGAAGATTTGAAGCTTCCAGTATAACTTCATATGAAAATTTATTGTGATAACGAAGCTGCGATTTCAATCGCTCATAATCCAATTCTTTGTAATCAGACTAAACATATTGAAGTTTATAGGCACTTTATCAAGAAGAAACTTGAAAGTGGGTTAATTTGTGTTCCTTATATTCGTACTTCACAACAAGTAGCTGATATATTCACCAAAGGTCTACTAAAAAAACAATTTGAATTTCTAGTAAACAAGCTGACAATGGAAGACATTTACAAGCCAGCTTGAGGGGGAGTGTCAGAATAGAAAATATTCTATTTAGAATATTCAAGGTGTATTCTAAGCTGTAAATATAGGAATCTAAGGCTCTGATCAAGGAGTTTAGGAAGATTTGTAGCTGTAATTACCTAGTTTAGATGTTATATTTAGCTATATATATGTGTGTAAGTTGTAATACCTGTAAATACACAGCAACACAATCAATATTTCCTGTTCATATCAGTTTACAATTTTCAAAACTACAATTCTAAAAAACAAATAAAAGGCAAAAGAGAAACACTCTGGCTATCAACTCTGTACCTTTTCAAAAAGATTGAGACAATCTTGGTTATCTTCAAAATCAACCTTGGCCCAGTCAATACCATCTTGTATGTATTCCTGAAGACAATAACAACTTGTAAATACACACAATGCAAGTGTTTGTAATACATCCTAATCACTAAGGCTCCAAACGTTTGACAGCCTAGTGATGTATTTGCGATATATGGATGTTAAGGCCACTAGTAATCCAACATGATGTTATGCCAGAATATTTAAACTTTTCTTTATCCAAGAAGCCAGAATTTTGTTCTTCAACAAAATGGAAAATAGTTCGAATTACGTGCACATTCAGTGTTGGATGTTGAGGATCAATAAGTGAAATTTTCATCCACCCCTCATCCATTATTGCCTTGAGTTCAACTATGAAAACAGGAGTCTTGTAAGATGTTAAGATACTCACCTCCTGCTCCAACTTGAATAAATGACGATTGAAGTGTTGCTGCAATCTCTCATTCGCATAATTTATGCAGAATTGCTCAAAACTATTCCTCTACAGCAACAGAGTAAATAGCATAGACTGTCATAAATCAAAATTCAACTCACAACATAGAGAATGTGACTTTAGGATAATGACTAAACTTACTTCAAACGATTCAAATCCATAAATGTCAAGAATGCTGATGGATCTGCCAGTTCTCCTTTTACCAACTGCAAGTGATTTGTTCACTTGTTCAACAAGCCAATCAAACAAGCAAGAATAAATCGACTTTGCCAGAGCATCTCTTGTATCTATTGCCTGAAACGTAGAAGACCAAATCTGTTGATAACTGAATGTCTTTTATGTAGTTCATGGAAAAAACACATCAAATTTACTATTAATAGGAGCTGCAGTACAGCTCATTGTATCCATACGTATCTATACATATTTGCAAAATTCCAGTAACTTTCAAATACATACACCACCACCAGACTGACAGGAGGGTGGTACAATATTTATTTTTTAACATGAAAGTTTGAAAAGGATGCATGTACTTGTTAGATCCATTGCTTATGAGAAGCATATACGTGTTGCTTTGCCATATACATTAAGCGTGTCAAACCCAACAGTCAGTGGCCCATTAAAACCCAACAAGAGAAAAGGCTTCTTCTTTTTTTTTTTTTTTTTTTTTTTTTTTTTTACATTTTCTCACCTGTGATAAGGTTAGCTTTTGGACAATTGTATCATTTCCGACTCTCATTTTGCGAGTAGATAAAGCCAGCTTAAGCTCTCCAACATTACATCCAATCAATTTTGCAACAGTGGTTAGACCTGCACATGAAAAATGCAAACTTTAGTGCAATATTTGACCACAAGCTGATGGCATAATACTAAATAATTTTTTAAGGAAAAAGATGACGAAGTAGTTTGATTTGCCACTAGCAACAAGCAAAATCACTCTAAGAAGAATCAATGCGATCAAACATAAGATGCTGTTGGAACTAATACTGCATAAAATAGAACACAACTGAAGTTGTATTTCATCCTCACAAAATAAATAAATCAGAAAAATGAAACAAATTGCAATAGCATTATTGCAAAAACTTGCATGTTTCATTCCTTGGTAGGTCAGCATTTTAGTTAGCATTTCCAGCCTGCTTTAATTATTGTGCTCAAAATTTAATCCTTGATGCTAAATCTGTCAAACCATCTGTGACTAGCAACATAAATTAAGTTGTCTTATATATTTAGTGGTCCAGGTTGATGCAGGGTGGCCAACCAACCAAAGCAATTCTTCTCTAGATTACTTCTAACCATTATTACTTTTTTTGAGAGAATTGTTACTTTTTCCTTCCAAGGATTTTTTTTAATTATTATCATGATTATTATTTGGCAGTTTCAGCTTTCCTAACATCTTGATCCAGGCAACAGGGGATAATCATAATCTTAGTTCTCCTATAAAAACCTGTATGACTCTCCCCACATACATGAAATTAGGATAATAATATTGAGAAAAATTAACGAATATGAAGAATTTAAATATGTTAAATATCCAACGGTAGTGGATGTAATTGAAATTAAATTCTGAAAGAATCTTACCTTCATCTGCTACAGGTTCAACGTGATTTTCATTATCAACCACAGAAAGGGAGATATTTCCCAGCCACAGTACTGCAGCAAGCATTGCAAATACACTCTCTTGGTCTTCCTTGCTGACATGGACAATATCCAGAGCTTCCTGAAAAGTTGTAACAGCCATAAGCAAGTTGACATGCAAAACCTCAACATAAGTGCAACTATGCAAGAAAATAGGAAGCCAGAAATGAACCTTAACAACACGGAAGCGTTCAGCATCATCAACCCCAGTAACTGTGTAGCAATTGCTCTGCCTCAAATATTTATATTCACTTGCAATCTTCAAGTTTATTTTTTCTGTGTTCATAAAAGAAACAGCAGACAAGCACCAAAACACAAGAAAAAAATTAATGCATGAATGATGAGTAAATAAACTGGAAAAATCACCATAGATAACAAAGCTCGCTGGAAATCAATATCACCATTATCATAATTATTAAGATCATTTTGTTATCATTAAATAGGGATGTATAAATATGTCATCAAATTTTTAACACGTTGAGAAAATATATGGCCGTACATACCTCTAAGTTTAGGTGAAGCCCCAGCACAAAGCTGATAAAATATATGATATGACCTCTCGCCTTCCATGCATTGGACCACTCTGGACTGTTTATTTGATAGATTATATTAGCAACTCATAGAAAAAAAATGAAGCAGGCAATATTCAACAGCGAAATAGAAAATTACCTTCTCAAGTAAAACTGTGCACCAAACAAGAGCGAAAAGTAGATTCAAAAACTCAAAAGTCAGTAACAAAATTTCCAAAAAGAGAACCAGAAAATAAATTCAATGCCATTAAAGGACATCAGTAATTTGAGCAAGCTTACATGTTTGAATATTGGCACCCGATATTTTTCCAGTTTCACTAAAGTGGATTTCAATCAACTTTCCCTGCAACATGTTCAGCCAGAATATTGATAATTAAAATTCAATTCTTAATGACAGTTGTTACTGTCATCTCTCAATACCAGTAGATAACCTAAAGAGTAAAGAACACTGAGATGTTCACACAAAGAACACAAAGCTTACAAAGCGACTTGAGTTGTCATTCCTCAGTGTCTTTGCATTACCAAAGGCTTCTAGAATAGGATTGGTTTTCAATATCTCATATTCTATCCCACTACCACCACCAAGAGCAGCCAAATATTGCATTGCTATCTTTGCTGTCTCTGTTTTTCCTGCTCCACTTTCACCACTGGGGCAACAAATGAAATTGAACTCAGTTGTGTGCAAGGAATGTCTATAAAAACGCTATAAACTTGTGCTTCTTTGGCCTGTAATGTTATGTGCCTTTTATCGGATTATGCATCATATATTTAACCGAACACAAAAGGGAGGCACATACTAGACATCAGAACATACGCAAGAACACTAAACCATCCAAAAACTTACAATCTTCATTAAAATCCCAAACACACATGACAAATAAAAGTGGAACTAAACGACCAAATAGAGTTTGAAGGAAGAGACAATTTCTTCCTCGATAATACTTCCTCTGAGAGCATTAGTCACTCAAAGATACATAATCAAGAGGAAAAAAGTAAAAGAGGCAAAGGACTCTGCGTACCTAAAGCAGATAATGGAAGAATTAAGTCCATAAACAGACCCATAAGGCTAGGTTATTAGAATCTCTATTCCAGTTTTTCAGTGGAAAGGCTATTTCTAACATATTGAAATGCAAGGAAGTTGTCCTGGTTAAAGTTCATCAAGCTCTCCAGTAGCTTCACACTCGTTTCATGGCCTTTGTTATATACAGAAAATCATTTAGTCTTTTATGTTGATAGTGAATATAATAACAAAAGCAAAACTCTGGTCACCACAAAGATAATGAGATGGTATCTCTCTATGTGATATTTCTAGACAGTACATCCACCAAACTTTTAACATGAATATTGACATAGGCATGCAAACTTCAAACGGAAAGGAGTCTGAGAGATGCATGGTTTCAAATTGTCATATAAACTATCAACAAAATGCCACATTTATGAGTTCCTACTCAGACTGCCTAGAAGCACGCAACATGAGGAACAATTTAGCAGAGATAGAAATTGTTAAGCTATTAACTGAAGAAGCCTTCAGAAAAATAAAAAATAAAAATAAAATTTAGTTGCTCATACTTTACTAACCTTATAATGATTGATTGATTTACTTCATCTGGAGAGAGAGGGAGGAAAAAGAATAAGAATTCCACAAAAATAAAACAAATTTCAAATAAACCAGCAGAAACTCAATCTTCAAAATATATGAAAAATTAACTACCTCGTATCATTTCCCTGATGGCTGTGTCTGTGATGGCATACACATGTGGGCTCTCCATAGATTTATTCTTATATGCCTCAATGTAATTATTTCCATATAAAGGAACTTCCTTGAAAGGATTGATGGCAACCAACACTGGCCCTGCCTTTGTCTAAATTGCACTCAAAGAATTAGGGGAAATCAGTATTTCATTAGCTGACTCCAAACCAAATATAATATAACACAAACACTTACATAAATCATATCACGATTGTATCTATACTGAAGATTGTACAACACTGATGGCTCATTTAAGTAACTAAGTTGCATGAGATCATCTACACCATCAAGGATATCAGGATTTGCTGGCACAAGACTTTCAGTTTTCACCTTTAAAACCTATAATTTGAACGCAAGTCAGACTGAAACATATCCCCAATTATTTATACCACAAAAACATCTTCAACAATTTTTTTCCTGAAAAATTTCACTTACTTTTCCATCAGAGAGAGAAATGGCAGACTCAGTCCCTGAAGTTGATAAAATCTTCCCCAGCTCCCAATCCCCATTTGAAAGTTGAAACCAAGACTGAAGTTTCTGAAACAGTAAACTTAAACATTGGTAACAAGATTGATGAATTGAATGCTGATCAATCAACTCAAGTCCTAGTAGCTTCACTATAATTTAGTAACAACCTCTACCTAACTATGCATCCTCAACTGCAAAAATTTAGCCATAACCAGACCAAAAACTAATCCCATTCATGCACCGATACCTTTTTTGCAGCATAGGAACTGGTGTCAGCCCACCTGCGATCCCTGCGAGATGTTGACGCCAAAGGCAAAGGTGTAGCCACAGCATCCAAATCTTCATCGCCCACAGAAGGCCTTTGTTCAACCAAGATGGCAGTCCGACTATAAGGTGAGTCCACACTGACATCATTGCCAATACTATCCTCAGCTCTCTCAACAAGACCATTGCCTAAATCATTATTTTCTGGAACGCTCAAACAGACTGTCTTACTAGTTACTGAATTCACATCCACAGATTTTGCAGATTGTTCAGATGTCGGTGAACCCACGAACCTAAAATCAACTGGCAACGATTTGATCGACTGGAGAGAAGGCAAGACCTGAGATTTTGGCAACATTTTCTCTGATCCTGACGATTGAGTTCCAACAGATGCCATAAGATAAAGAATCAATTAAAAAGCTTAACTTTTTAACTTTCTCACCCTAAAAAAGTCTTATCACAAGACCCCACTTTACAACTTATTTGGTTACAGCTTAATGGAGGGGACCATAGTTTCAGAAACCGACCCTAGTGCTCCCTAGATACTTAGTCACCACCATTGACAAGCTTCACACCTTAAAAATCTATTCAAGTCCTTCAAGTAACCCCCAAAAATAAAAAATCAATACAACGCTTCACTAGTAGATACTTCTCACAAATCCTATGTTAAAAAATCGTTAAGTTCTTCAATTCTTGATCTCGCAGTGATCTTCAAATTCCTCCCCGTTCCTCAAACTTGAATTACTCGAAAACCCTTCCAGTTTCTGCAAACATTAAGCAAAGTAACTAACTACCTTGACCACAAATTTCACCTAAAAAGGTTAAATTATTTTTTAAACAATAAAAGACAACAATTCTTGTAAGACTTGACTTGTTTATGCGTTTAAGCAAGGTCACAAAATAAATACATGAACTAATCAAAAAATCAAAAGGTGAACAGTGAAGTTTGAATATTTCTCCACTAGAGACCAAAAACAAAATAATAACAAAATCCAAGAGCCCAACTTTTCTCCATTTTTCCTTCACTTTCTTCTGCTTTCTCAGCAACCAAACAAACTTCAAAAACTTAAAATGAAACAAAATCTGCTGAATCATAACCGATCTAATATCCAAACTCACATTTTCAACACTCATTAACATTAAAGTTAAAAATCAAGAAAATTCAATTCTAAACTTAAAAATTTAAAAAAGAAAAAAACAGCAAGAGGCCTCTCTTAACATACCTTGACAAAGTCTAAAGTGGGTTTCGAGTGGAATCAAAAACCCTTCTCAGCAAAGCAAAGTAATTCAAAACTGGCAGATCGATCTCAAGAAAAAAGCTTACTAAATTCAAAAATAATAATAATAATGAAGTTGAAACAGTGAAAAATGAAGCTTTCTTTTTCTATAATAAAAAAAAAAAAAAAAAGAAGCGAAAAACTTAACAGCTCAAAAGCAGCGACAGCTACTGTAGGTAGAGAGAGAGAGGAGTGTTGTTTGGTTTGGGAGAAAATTGAAATAGGAGGCAGAGGCAGCCAGGCTTGTGGAGAAGAAGCAGCTTTTTCTCTGCTTCACAAATAATTGAAAAAATGGAGGAAAGGAAGAAAGAAAGCTCTGTTTCCTTTTTGAAAAGAAAAAATTGAAGTAATTTATTTGGTGTTTGAATTTTTGTAATTTTTTACGTACCAGCCGAATTTAAGAGGTAGATCTTTAACGGCTCAGGTCGGATTTTCAATTACCATTTTAACCTAAACTATTTCATTTATTACTAAATAGCATTTTCTCTCTTTTAAAAAAAAAATGATAATAAGTTTTTTCTCCATTAGGGGTTAAGCAATATCATAATTATCTGTGTTTATATTTTATTGTTTTAATTTTATAGTCAAAGTTTTTTTTTTATTAACTTTCTATGTCAAAATTAAGTTTATTTTCCTCATCTAGTTACTTGTAAATTAATTAGATAATTTATGAGAATTCAAATCAATTTCTTCAAATTTAACTAATGTATATTTCTCATGATATTTGCATAAAAATAATGTATAAAAAGATAACGTGAAAATTAAAATAATTTCTCAGACATAATGGTAATGAAAAAAAAATTCTTTTAAAAAATTAAAATAAATCAATTTAATATTAACACATAAAAAAATTTATAATTATTACCACCAACTTATTCATGAGTATGCATTCAAAAAGAATGCTTCGAAACAATTTTTTGTGAAATTTATCACAAAAATAGCTTTGGTTTTCTTTATATTTAAACATTCAAATTTTCTATAACATTTTTACTCATTTGATATTTGTGTGGGTGTTTTTAAGTTTGGTTTAATTTTTTTATTAATTAATTTCTACAACAATGTGACCCTCGGGCCACATTGGACAAAAACTGGCGACCACCGACTAATAAAGCATAATAACAAATCATTCAAAGAAGAAGAATTCAATGAGGGTTTATTTTCTCTATTTTTTTTTTTATTTCTTTATCAATATTTGGTTTTTTAAAAAAGTTTTGCGTAGTAGGAATGGATTATTGCTGCTGCATCTTTTGGGGGAAAGATCCTCCCACTTGGTTGGAACAAGTCATACATGGCAATAGTTAACAATCCCTTGATTAATAATATTTCCTAGTTAGGATAGGCTAGACCAATTTGAATTTAAATATTTTGGTTTTGCCTTGATTAAATTCTACAACCAAACATCCACAGGATTACATAGCAGGTTAATTGGAAAATGAATTAAAAGCTTTAAAACAAAGTCGGTTGTCATCATCAGATTTATCGTATTCATGACATAGCATAATTCCAAAAAAAAAAACAAATCCAAAGTTATTAGAAATTATATTAGGCTTTAAATGGAAAGGTAAACTATTGAATGTGTAGTCAACTAGCAATTTCCACCTAAACACCATCCATCATTTTGAATACAATCCTGTCCCACTTCAGCCAATAAAATGAGAAAATGTACCTACCAAAAAACAAAAAAAAGAAAGAATGATTTTATCAAAATTCATTTAAATTTATAAAACTGCATCATAAAAACTCTAGTATTTTTTTTCTTTCAAAATTTTCATATCACAAATCCAATAAATAAATTACTATTTAATGTTTATGTTATATACAAATGAGTAAAATTAATCAAAATATAAATTAATACGGATTTTATAATGCTGTAATAATAACACTAGATGATACATTTATATATTTTATACATATTGGTCATCTTAATGCTGCTAAAGATGATTATTTTCGTCACGATAATCCAAAATATTTGGGATCATACAATTAACTTACAAATATTAATTCATTAGAGCTACCTCTCCCCTTTAACTTCAACATCCCAATACAACTATCCCTCCGAAGAAAAAAACATAAGAAGAAGAACACAATAGATGGCAATTTCTTTTAATGCATATGTATAGAGAGAGAGAGAGAGAGGTGACACAAAAGTGGATGTAAGGGCGTTTATGTCAATTGGCAGTGAGGAAATAGAGGACAAATAGATTTGAGTGCAGTAGTCAGCAAAATATTAGAGGGAGTCAAAAACTAAAGTGCTGTTTTGAATATGGCCGTAAGATTGAAATCAAACGGTGATTGGCGGCAAAATGTTAAATTGAGAGAAGGAGCTTATGACACGTGGACGTACTTTTAAAAGGCCGGCAAATTGTTGACTGCGTAAGGTGTAATGCGCTGATACTGGATTCTTTTGATTGTCTTTTTTATCTGATCAAATCAGATTATTGGGTCCCACACCTGACTCAGCCTGGACGGGCCAATCCCAACCCTTTGTGTTTTCTTTTCGAAAATGAAAAATGAAAGTTTTTGTTAGTTTTAGCATTATTTTATTATGCTCCCTTTTAAATTTTTGCTCTGAATGAGGGAAAATAAAGATTATTACACCTTACAAACGAGCCAAATGGCTAGGTTGCCTCTTTTTTAAGGCAATGTTAAGGTTCCATGATTTGAAAAAAAAAAAAAAAAGGAGGAGGAGGAGGAGGAGGAGGAGGTAAGGTTAAGATTCTAAGGAAGGAACTTGAACAACATTTAAGGTAGCAGGCTGCTTGTCAAGGAAGGGAAAGGTGTGATGGGGCCAATCCGATTGAGCATGCACATTCTCAAGTTTGAGTGAGAATTCATACAAGAATATTGTACTGAAATTTTTTACGGTTAATTGATTTTTCAATTGTCTTTTCTTTTTAACTCCGTACACATATACAGATGAATTAAAATACATATATCAACTTTCGTATGGTTTTTTTACCAAAAGGAACACATGCAACACATTTATAATACTTACCTAAATAATGTGGGGGCAATGTCGATTATCATTATTCCCCAAAGAAACAAACGCATTAATGTAAAAGAGATCATAAACTTATCGTAAATATTTTAACTTTAAGATAATTATTGACTTAAAGAGGTTAAATGGAAACAAAACTATGTTAATTAATAGTTAGTGAACTATAAATTCTTTAATTTTGATTGAATTGTATGCTTTTAATTGAATGGAAAAAAGAATTAATTTCATTGCATAAAAACTGATTTTAAAACATTCACTCACGACATTAAAAAAAACATAAAATGATAGATATATAACTAAATAATTACTAAATAATACAGTGTAAAAACAAAATAATTTGAAAACTATAAAAAAAAAAAAAAAAAAACTAAGAAAAAACACTAAGAGTGAAAATTAAAAAAAAAAAAAAAAAACTAAGAATGATAGTACGAGTGTACCTTAAGGGTGAATAGGAGTGTGAGGGTGAAAAAAAATGAACGAGTGATTTGTGAGGAGGTGAACGAGTGTTGTCACTATTCAAACCCCCGCACCTTTTAGTATATTACCAATAATTTTATCACCACAAAATCTGCATCAATCGACATTATTCTATTAAATATGTTATGTAAGTTATTTGACAAATGAGAAGTAAATTTTTAATTTATGTACCTATTGTTATGAAACGAATCAAGAAAGAAAAATAGAATAGAAAGACAAGAACAATTACAAAATACAAAAGTTACGTGGTTTAACAATTGTGCTTGCTCCATGGCTACACTAGAAGTTCTTATTAGAGTTTTATTAAATAACGACTCGCAAATATAAGAGATATTATCCCTATTTATAGTATGAATAACTAAGATTATAATAAAAAAAGAAGGCTTATGAGTTTATGTAATTGATTTTGTGAAATCATGACTTGTGTCTTCATCTGCAACTTTAATAAATCTTGACTTATGTCATTGAGTAGATTTTTTTTACCAATTTTATAAAAATAATTTGAATCGTCATCTTTGACTTATTATTCGCTAATAAATTTTATAAAATTGATTTGAGTTGTCGTCTTTGACTTGTTTTTTATTGATGAATTTATGAAAAATAATT